GATAAAAAAAATTTAAGAAAACTGCAATTGCATAGTCCGATAAAATTAATTACACGGTCGTGTAAAGTGTTACTTGCAATATGTGCAAACTTTAATTACAATATATATACATACATACGAATCGTGCATCAACGTGTAATTTACCGAATTTCATTTTAACGTCTTGATCGAAGAAAAATGATCGTTGATCACCGATCACGGCCACCCAAATGAAATCTTTCGGCTCGGACAGGCTCTGCCGCGGCCAATTCGAACGGTCGCGATAAATCAAACGCGAACAGACCGATGCTGGCTTAATGCAGATTGCGCTTATATGCAGATTCTGGATAGAACAAAACGCGTCGCGTCGTCGCGTACGCGGGCCCGGTAACATTTTAATCGGTTTTCAAGGTTGGCTCCGTGTAAACGAGCCCTAACGAGCGGGACGCTGATTCCGCATGCACGCGGATCGTGTGCTCCGCTGCCGGGGCACGCAACATTGCATTATTAATTGCGAGCCAATTAAGGCGCGTTACAACGTTACATCGTTTTACCACGCGAGTCGCATGCTGCGCGATCGTTCGCTGAAAATTCAGTCGCGAAAGCGACCGGCGCCGTTGATTAAGCAGTCTTCAAGCAGAATTGCAGATGTAGAAACGGAAGCTGCGGTTTCGTGCTGGATAACTGGCAGAAAGTGTTCCATCAGAAGTGTTAATGCGATTGCTGGGGTGATTATTAGGGAGTGTATCAAAAGTATAGAATCGTTTCTGATTTTTTTATATGACGTTTTGTCTGACTTTTTAGTCGTTCATGTGCTGTGTTATCGAGCGCCCGTCTGCTATTATTTTGAGAAACGATAACAAGATTATATTAGCCTCAACTTTGTATAATTTTTGGTAAGATAACCTTGAAAAAGAAACCTTGAGATTAAAATGACTCTGATATTTATGTTGCTAAGCAGAGGCTAACAATGTGGATTTACAGGTCTCACTTCCTAAATTTTATCTCGTATTTTGAATTTCGTATTTTATGTGCAAACTGTTTTATTCATAATTATTGTATATTATATTATTATTTAATCATTTTATTCATGATATTTTAAATATTTTAATTATTTTATTCATAATAATTTGGTTCAGACTAAATCCAATTTTGTTGACAGTTTGAAAAATTAATTATTGTTAAGTTAACATTTATTGCTCGGTTAACAAAGTAATATCTGGTATAAGATGAACCTGATCATGTCAAATTATCGAACATATTCTCACGAAGCATCTTCAGAACTTTAACAATTGTCAAACAAAGAATTATAATTTTTTGACTAGTAGTAGTTCTGGTTATTTTTAACTGTTGTAACTTTTGGTTTAAAATTAATGAAATCGCGGAAATGTTTTAAATAAACTTCATACACGCACACATAATACAAATTAATCAGGTTCGATGCACACAGCGATGTTAGTGTTAAAAATAAAACGCATATTTCATTGATCATACAGAATCGATAATATTAAGTTATAACAATAAATTGTGCGCAGTATGCATGCTTTAATACACATAAACGATTTATAAACATTTTCCTTGGATAGCGCAGCCAGTGTTAGAAACAATATGTTGAACTTCTAAGAGTTTCAGTAAAATCTCTGTTGCGAATTATTTTTATAATCGCTTCATTATTTCGAGTGTAGTTGCTGCCAAGGAATTGCCGTATCATAAAACCGTAATAAAAATAATGGAAACTCGAACGTTCGTAAATAACGCCGAGCAAATATTATTTCATACAAAATTTTACGCTGCACTAAAAATGACTCGGACCGCATGATAAATGACCGGTAATTATTGGATCCCGAGGCTCAATGGAAATCTGTGAAATTAAACCGAAAGTAATTTCTGGCTGAACGGAACACCTGCCCCTGTGAAATCGCAACGGCGCGAGTATGGATGAGTAAGATGGATGACGAGAGCGATTCCGTATACAGAAATAATTCAGGAAAGGGAGCTAATGATCGCCTAAGCGCTCTTGACACTCTCCAAGGATTTATACGATATTGATCGGCAAGGCCGCGATCCTTAGAAATGAAAAAGGTGTTTCGATTAAGCGGAATCAATCCCGGCGCAAAGTTCTCGTACACACAATGATCAGCATATTACGTCAACCGACTGTACTTGACCAGTCAGCCACTCTAGCAGCTGATGACCTTAATAATAGTTCGCACAAATATATGTATACGCGCGTAAGAAGACGCACTTCGCGTTTCATATCGAGCGGCGGAGCTTCGTCGTAGGATTTCCTCGAAACTCGTTACGTGCGATCTCATTATAGGCTCTGAGCTCGGTGTACAATAAATTAAATTAATCATAGAATTCGCGGAAATTTCACGGAGACGCTTAATCCTGTCTCGTTGCCGAGATTCGTGACTCATGGCGTGCCAATCTCGTTAGGGTTAAACGTGAACCCGGTTGCTTTCGCGACGACAACGACGACGACGTCGCGAAGTATAATCATTGCGCTTCATAAATTGTGATTCCTTGTACTCGAGGTATGAAATATTCGAGCATAATTTACATCCCCCCCTCTAAAAGTGTCAGGGCATTTGCAGGAAATTAAATAAATTTGAAAAATCGATAGGAAATTCTTATAATCTCTTAAATTTATTCCAAAATTAATTTACCGCGTTTTTAAGTTATATTGTTTATCTTCCTTTTTATATTTTGCTGATAAAGGAGAAGAGCAACAAATTAATCGTTGTCGCGTGTGTTCCTCTTTATATCAAACAACCATTGTTCAAAACATTTTTTTGTGCAACAGTTAG